ACAGTCACCTCAGTCCATCCACCAGGGTGGTATCACCGTTGTATATGAATGAAGTCAGCTGTAATTTGGTGCTTCCTCTTTTTTCTTCTCCCCTGCGGTGTCCCCCTTCTGTCATCCTCACGGAAACCCTGAAGTAAAACCCTGACGTGCTTCACAAAGATACTAAAATAAAAAACAAACCTTCATACTGTACATACATACTTCACAACTGTACAATTAGTATTAACTTCTAGCTCTTGGTAAAACTTGCAAATTCCAAACAAACTTCACTGCAACTCTGTTCGCTCTTTTAAAATGCAACTATAAAAACTTATCAGTGTTGTAGATGTTATGAAGATCATCACGACGTAGTACAGGGAGGCCTTGCAGTACAATGGCGCACTTGTCTGTGAAATCTGGCTTGCAGAACTAAACAATGAACAAATGGATTACAACATCATGAAACATTCAATAGCACAAAAAACTTCCAAAAACAGTAAAAGAGCCATCTTGTTTGAGCTAACAACTACTGCCTGGAGAAAGGAAAACTCATAGGTTTATTGTAATCAGCAGTAACGAACAAAACCGCTCATAAAATAATGTAAATTTTCAACAATTTAAAATAGCAATTTAAGTTTTACATGAGTTTATACTCACAATCTGCAGGATTTAGGCTCTTAACTTAAATGTTGTTATTGGGCCATTTCATCCACATCCTAATTTACTTACAATATTACAGAAATAGTTTCAGCCATGCAAGTTCAATATAATAATGGGAGAACAATCTGTGGAGTGAAGTCAGGCTCTTATAGAAACAGTCACGTTCTATACAAATTATACTTAAAATAATTGTCAGATATGATCCTAATCTCTTGACTCGTCTGTGGAGAATTTACATTACAATGCACCATGAATACGCTTTAGGTGGCGAACTTCAAACAGGCCATTGGGTTTCTAGCTCTCCACATCTGTCCACAATACACAATTTAGATTTGAAGTTAACAAAGCAATCGCAAATTTGCTGCTCTTCTCCTCCTCCATCTGTTTGGCAGATTCAGCACAGTTTAATGCAGTTTCTTTTCTCCCTATGAAACAATGTCATTGTTTCCTTTGTTGTCACTCAATTTGTTTAACATTGCTCCACAACAATGAGTAAACTGCAACTCAATACAAGCTAGTATATTCTTCATTTCCAAACAAAGGTAAGTAATGTAAGTAAGCCACGAAAGCTACTGGAATTAACAGTGTACAGTGAGGCAACTTAAGCTCTTTACAGTGTTTTTGAGGGAGACTTATCTTATTCTTATCAAAAATGTTCGCATCAGTAAATGGGGAAAAGCTCATTATTTTGCAGCTGGCTCTGGTTGTGCTAATTTGACATTGTCGAGGTCCTTTTTCATGTCTGCGATGAAATATTTATGGTGTGAAGAAAATATTCTGTGAGAATTATCTGGCTATCAACACAATACTCTGTGGCTTTGTGTTAGGCATTACATCAATTGGAATAATTTTTTTTCTAAAGGCCATTGATTCACTTTGAACAAGGAAATCTGTGAACAATTAAAAGGTGTATGAATATCTACCGGTGAAATTTAACAGGTTTTACATGCCTAAAACCACTTTGATGCCCAAAGGTGTCCTTTTACCTTCAGCAGTAGAATACATCAGACAGTTTTCCAAATGAATTTCTGTCAATTTTTTTTGGATGAACATTAGAGGCACAGTAATTATTATTTTCTGTCAGAGGTTTGATTTTGATCAGTATAGCAGAGGTGCTTGTATGTTCAGAAAGCTGTGGGCTACAGCTTTGCCTAGTTTAATTGTTCCTTTCATCAGATACAGAAATATAGAAACATTGATGAACTAAAATCTTCACATTAAGGCTCAATTTAAAAATAGACTTCACCAAACACCAAAACTCCCCCTAAAATACTTCCCCAAACAAAACAAGACTGGCAAAAAGATTTCCTCTCTGTATGAGAGTGTGTCTGATGTCCTATTACATGTGACATAACTCATTTGATTAAGAGATTCTCTGCAGCTTGTGCGTATTTAAATATCATATGGAGCATTTTTTGTCTGATCACATTTACTTTGTCATTTATCTTCCAGGCATTCACTGAATTTCCAGCCCAGCTCAAAGTAATTTTTTTTTAAATAACCATACAGAAACTGAGAAAAACAATCAACACATTGTGATAAAAAAGACCCGAAAAATCAACGAATAGATCAGAATTAAGATGGGTGGTATTGTATAGCTCATCTTTATTTGGTGACACTTATGGGCGTGACTTATTTATATATGTATTTTTTCTCCTGTTATCAGTACTGTGACCCCCGTTGGCTGGCTTAACTGGCCATACCACTGCATCTATAGCTCACGGAGGCAGGGAAAAAGAGCCATAGTAAGTTTGGTGCCACAGTGATAAACATGCAGCTGATTGAGTTCACAACCCTGGCTTCAGGAGCAGCTGCTTGGGCTGCCAGACTGTTTGAGGTGCTGGCAGAATTGAGATACCTCTCTCTTTCAGATACTGCCACATACAACATCTTAACAGTCTGGGACTGAATTCATGTACGCATTGCATAATATACTGTCTGTTTTAGTGAGGTGATTAGTGACTCTGCAGTGCAGCTGTCTCTGATATTTGTCTGCCAAGGTACCGAGCTGGGAACTGGTTTATGATATGGTGAAAAGCTTGGGTCTGTGGATGCTGCCAAGCCTGTTCATTAAATGCGGAGCTTCTTTTGAGATGCAGAATTTAATTTATTCAATGTTTGGATTAAAGTCTTATCTCTAAAATGTAACAGCAACTAGAAATCATTTAGCAGATGGCAATACACAAGGAATGGCCAAGTTCAGTGTATCAGCTGATGTTTTTGGAGCACACATTAGACATTTATTTTGTTTTATATATATCTGTCCTAAGTTTATATTAGCAAAATATCAAGGTCTTGACTTCCAGCAGTGAGGCAGGTAGCTGAGGAGGGATTAGCAAATTCCACTTTTACAGTTTTTATAGTAATAGTACATGTACAGTATTAATAGTACTTATTAGCAGTTTTTGGAAAAGCTGTGAAAGACGATAGAAATCATTACTTTTTTTTCTATTCTCTTTTTTATTGAGTTTTTGTGAACCTCTGCAAACGACAAAACCACCAGAATACTGTACAAGGGATGGACATTTTAGACAACCTTAATGTCATTTACAGACCTCAATAATTTCAAGAAACACACTTGCACACATTGCAGAGCAAACACTCTGCCTTGTCAAGAGAGCTTTTAGCTGTGGGACTGGAGTACAGTGCCAAGCCAGGCGAGGTAAGCTCCTGAAGGGAGGTGAAAAGCACAAGGCAGGTTTAAGGTTGGAGGCAATTGTTGTCAGGAGAGAGGATGGCAAACACTTCTGCCTTTGAGCTTAACTTAAAGGTAGAAGATGTTAAGCAGAGAAAGCTGAAGAGACTGCACTGACCCAGTGTCAAATAGATGTGGTGGCTTAGGGTAATACATAATCTAGAGTTTGAACTACTAGACTTATTTAAGCTAAAGCAGATACTAATTTATTTTAATCACCCAGTTTAATTACTCTTTGTAATTGCTAAATGTGAAATGAGGTAATCAGAATTCATTCATGTGTGATGTAAATGTGTATATTAAATTAGATGCCATTCTGTCAAAATGTTGATGAGATATTTCAATGAAACACTAAATTTTCACCCCACTGTGGTGCTAGATAAGGAGTCGGCAAGATTAATCACCTGAGGACTCTGCATCAAGTTTGTGGGAGGTGTTTGAGCAGACTAATTGTTATTTTTCAGTCTGGACTAAAGTGGTGGAATCACTGGTTAACAGACTGGCAGTGACATCCCTTAAGCTGCATTGGCAAAAACAAAAGTGGTCGATTTAAAGCTCCCAGGATTGTACGAAGTGCCGTTTTGTCCATCTTAAGGTTACTGTTGTGATTTAAATACTTACACACACAAAAATACTTATTTCATTATCAACTAAAGGCAGAAATTCACAAGCGGTAAGAAAGTGATACGTCGCACATGCACCTTGACTCTAATAAACAACAGACTGAATAAAAAAATGAATGAACTGTGTGTACATACTTGAAATTGAAATGTTTGCAATTGATTTTTCTCAGTCTACCAGGAGTACCTTTCTTCCACCCTATTTGTTGGCTTTTATTAAGTTAGTTGCCCGCTGGAGGAGGAGTGCAGCTGCAGAGACAAGCTCATTTGAGCCACAATGGAATGGCAGGGCAAAGCACTTAAAGGCCTTGGGAAATCAGGTCATTATGAGCCGTGGTTTTCAGGAGTATGACCAGAAAGGTCAATAAGAGAGCATGGAAGCACTGAGACAAAGTCAGAAGGCGTTAATAGGACTCAATTTCCATCTGGGTGAGCTCTCAGAAAGATCTTGGCTAGAGGGTTGACAGGTTGTCATTGAATATTATGGGAAGCAACTTCAACTCCTCAATTGTCATTGTCTTACATGCCCCCTGGAGACTGAGGGATAGACAAATAATCACTGCAAACCTTGCAGATTTATGCAAAATTTGTCGACAGCAAACTCACCTGCTGCTATAATGCACAACTTGCCCTTCGCCTTTTTAACAGCAGTACGTCTGAAAACTGGAAACATAATAATCCTTTTTTCTTATGCACAGAAACTTTCTCGGGGATCTTTGCACTGAGATGAAGAGTAGAGCGAATAAGAAAGAACAGATGAGTGGATTATAAATCACAGCAAAGTCCTACCTCTGGACCAGTATTTGCTGATCGTGTGTAAAAAAAGACATTGCATTCATGTCATGCATCTCTGTAGAGCTTCCCTGCATTTTCACACTGTTATTCATTACTTCTTACCTTTTGCAGCTCACTAGCTATCAACTGTGTATCATGTGAAACATAAATAATAAAATGTCATTGCATGAGGCGTCAGATTTTTGCACTGTAGTTGAAAGATGTGAACATCATTGCCTCTTTTTTTCCTTGTCTGTTTTTGTCTTCCTCAGATTCCTTACAGTAGCTCGGGCTGCCTTGTGCCAACCAGAGTAGGAACATCAGTGGGTGAGTGCTTGACAGAGCCAGCACCGGGGAGTTAATACCAGTCACTGCTGGAGGTGTGACACAGTCCCAGCCCACAACACATTGATTCACACAGGATTAAGCCACTGCATGATGCTTCAGGTTGAAGACCTGGTGCAGGTGATTTACTCTCCCCGTCAAACTTAACATCTTTGGACCCTCCTCTGCCCTGTTCCTGCTTTCGGTGGGACTACTAAAAAAAAAGCATCTGCTACTGTAACAACCAGATCACCGAAAGGGATGACTGGCAGTCATCTTGCTCAGGTACATTTTACATCATGTGCATGGTGTCCAATTAAGAGTGCAGCTGTTTATGAATTTAGTTATCCAAATGTGCGTTTTCTTTATTTTAAGGGTGGAAAAAATATTTTTTTCAGAATTTATGATCAGATTGAGACTAATGCTCAACTGTCAAGATGCTGACTCCCAAGATTCCATCAAAATTGAACTGAATTCCACTCATTTTGAGCTATATATCTGTGCTCTTTTGTTTTACAGCTGCAATGAAAATACAAAAGAAGCTAAACATTCTGGAAATGACAAACACGTTTTATATAATGAGCTGTCACCATCCATTCAGGCAGCATAATAGTGGCACTGTCTTTGTTACTGTTCTGAATAGACTAAAACTCCTGGTGTCAAAGGAATTAAAGAATCAAATGTAGTGCAATACTCTTTAAATACCAATCTATACAGAAACAGAAGAAACCGACTGCTAAAATAAGCCTCGGATCAAAGGAATACAAAAAAATGTGTTGTGCATTTGTGATTCTTTCAATGCTGTCATGGTCATTCCTGCCAAGGAAAACATCTGCAAAAATCAGCTCCTTTGGATGTAGATGGATTTCTGTTTTCATATTGCCAAACCCAATCAAAAACAATTACATGCGCTACAACGTGGAAAAAATACTCGCAGCTGTGTTAACCTGAATCCACTTGATGCAACACACAAAGAATGGCGCAGCGATATAGATGGGAGTTTAAGCTTAGAATCTGAAGCGGGAATGAGCTGGTTGGCTACATAATTATGTGGAAATCCAGAGAAGAGGGTGGCATCTCTGGTAAACAGACTGGGATCAAATGCCTTTGTTTTCACTCCAGACAGAACAGGGTGTTTGGCTTATTTAAAGAGAGGCTGGAGGATTGCATGGTGATTGTTCAGAGCCTTGGCATACCAAATTAGCTTTTGCCATTCATTTGGAAACATCTAATCAAACATTAATTATTGTGACCACCTGTGAAAGGGAGGGGTGTAGAGTGTTGCTCATCTGCTCCCTTATGCTAGCTGCAGGGTTTTTCTCGCTGAATTCAATGAGTGAGCCCCAAACAAGGACCACAGGAGACAGAGGAGCAGATTGCATTCCATCAGATCGTGGAGTATCTAATAAGACTCACACCAGCATCTGAGCCTTGCTGCTGTTTGCCAGGTTTTCTACGGCCACTGAGAGCCTAGCATGATTCCTTTGACCCAGATATTTAGCAGCTTAAGAGCTTTTCTTTTTTAAGATTTTCAGGATAGCCTGTATTACTCACCCATTCTGAGATGCGCTGGCTGGATGAGCACAATTGCTGCTGATTCTCACAAAGATATCTTACAGTAGAGTAATCTCGATTGTCTACCTTTTTGTACTTTGAAAAACAAAACTGGCATGCCTTGGGGTCATGCTTGTTTCCATTGCTTGTTTGTGTTCAAGACCATGTTTTCCAATCAGTTGTGACATGGTCTGTCAGCCCAAGAAGAGTGCTGCTTGTCCTGTGCATAGTCAAATTAGAGTGGCTGGAGGGTGCGTGTAATATAGGTGCAGTCAGGTATGGCTTCCAGAGCAGTGCAGCCCAAGAGAATGGCTAGTAATCAGCAACCAGAGGTATCTAATTGGCATATGGCTATGTGAGTGCCAGACTGGTCTGCTCACTCACCCAAGTAGAATACATCTTCTAGCCATCAAAAAATGTGAGACAAAGGCAGTTCTAATAAAAATTGTGAATACATTATCTTCAGAGTGGATGAGTTATTTAAAGGAGAAAGTGGAAGAGATGGAGAGGGAGACAGAGCGGGAGTGAAAAAGAGCACTCGCTGTTCTTTGCCTGACAGAACCCCATGAGGCAAATTGGTATTGAGAATAGATACAAACAATAGTTATGTGTTGAATTGCCAAACCCTTGGGCCTGAAGCCCTCCAACACACACAAAAAAGAGCAAACCATTTTGACTATAGAATAACACATCAAAGCCAGAGGAGAATTGGACAGTCCATCAAAAACTGTGCATCTGGCAGCCCACTTCTGGGCACCAAGCCATCTCCATCCAAGCATTTCTTTCTCATTAAACAAATTTTACCCCCACCAAAACATAGCTAAAGCAGCAAAGTCAAAATCTAATTTCCCTGAATGAAATCAAGCAAAAATAATTCAGCTGCCAGCGCTTTCACAGGCACGCCATGTGTAAATAATCTTAAATCTCAAATGGCTGCTGCCTCTCAGAAATTAATCTACCATTAGATACTCTCTATGATACTTACTATCGTATACTATCGGGACAAAATGTAGAAAAGCCTCTCTGTTGTATTGATGTGGAATGTCAAAAGAAAAATTAAAAACTTGTCCTGTACAGAATCAGTAGATTAGAAAATGCTTACCACAGTTGCACAGATTACATCTAATTCATGACAGATGTGACTTTGAAATAAAATAAACTCTCAGTGATGTTAGTATTGGATGTGTGGATCACCAGCTTAATACCTCGGCTTGCATAAACATAAAATGTTTTGCTATTCTTTATGTGCTACAAATTCCCACGGTGCCTAAATCAGCTGTATTTGATATTAAGACCAATTTTTTGCTAAACCTATGCAGCAGAAATTGCTTTTGTCTCATGTTTTATGATTACAGAATGTCAAAAAACTGCAGGGGAGCTCAGTGGGACGATAAGTCAATAATAACAAATCTCTCAATACCCAAGTGCTACAGTGTAGCAAAAATTGTTTTTGGAAAATGAATCACTGCAGTCATGAACACCAGTCTTTCAAAGCATAAGGTGTTACAGATTTAATTTCATATTCATTAATTTTGCTGTTGGTGCAACACAATTAGAGGCCTAGTGAATCCAGGACTAATCCTTAACACTCCTAGGACACGAATCACAGTAGCAGGAGATAGGAATAAATGAGCTGCAATAAAAAGGTACTAATACCCTGTATTACTCCAAGCTTAGAGCCTTGCCTTCCATCAGTGCTTGTTTCCACACCTCCTTTGGGACGCTGAGATACTCTTGCCACTCTGTCTAATTATTTTTGATCTATGTAGGTGGAGAAGAAGCCATAGTATCCCACAACTATCAACTACAACAGCAAAGCTGTTTTACAAGTCAAATCTTATCCATCCGGCACTATGATCCATGTGTGAAAAAGTCTGATGGACTTGGAAAGTGACACCTAATATTACATTTCTGGGCTGGAGGATTCAGTGGGAAGGTGGCCAAGGTTTCTGATCATATTTATGAATGAGCTGATGATGAATTTCATTTTCCTCCCACAGGAGTAAGAGAGGAAGCAATGGGCTGGACTATGACTCTAAAAGATGACTTTGGGGTCATTGCCTGGACACGGCAAGCTGGGAGCTACCTAAGCCTCTTCCTCCTCTTGTCTCTCTTTTCCATATCTGTCCGTTTAGACAACGTGTATCCTAGAGACCACCATTTTTCATGGAAAGCAGGTAAAATATTTATTCTATCTTATTACAAGTGCATTAATAAAGGTCCTGTTTTGACTTATATTTAAATTAAGATATGCAATCCACCTGCTTGCATGTAAAACAACATAATTTTGTTCTTAATGGTAATTTAAAAAGTCAAATCTCTTTGAACCTGTTGAGGATCATGGCGATAAGATACGCAGCACGTGGAAGCACACATTTGCACACATGCATTTTCAGTGAAACCAGTTTTGTGGGGAAAATATTCCTTCTTTTTTTGACACACATTGGACTGCAGTTGGACATCATCAAGCCTTCAGGCTCAAGTGCCTGGGGTGAAGAGAATAATAATGCTTTTTTTTTTTTTCTTGTAGAGTATTCACTCACAGCCCCAAAATGACAAGGACAGCTACAGTTGTTACAGCAGAGTGGCATGGTTATTAAGATATTGAGGCATATGAAATAGTCTTCCTGGCATGCTTAGTGAATTTATGGCCCCAGTTATATATAGTACACATTGTTGTAATGGAAAACATGCTGCGTATTGAGCTGTACAAATCCCTTATTCACACACATTCACATGCACTCACACCTAAAATGTGTTTTACATCTCCTGTGTGTTATTTATGCATCCATTTGGTAATTTCCATGCAAATTATTAACATTTTTGTAAATTAATCACCTTTTGGAAACCTGTAGTGTAAGCTGATGTCATTCTTTTTTAACAAGAATTTTGAGGCAAACTCAGAATTCATCCTTTGTTCGCTTCACCAATTCAATTGAAAATGCATTTGCAAAGCAGCTTGAGGAGGAAAATTTGGCCTTCCCACACAAAAGCCCCACTTGCTGTGCGATTAGCACTTTCATTTCTCACTCTGTGGTTGGGTAATGACACTGCCCAAGTGATAAAGAGATTGATTAATTTCACTTGAAAGAGCTTATGTTCAAAACGGATGTAACCGGAACACCAAGTGTGAGGATTTGACATCCTTTCAGAGCTAAGATGGCTTATAAGTTGTTTCTTAAATGGAAATGAAAATCAATTTACAAAGAAGAAAGGGAATCTCAAACTTAACATACCTCACCTCTGAATAAATCCTCCTAATGTCTGTTTGACTGCAGGAAAACTGTTCGTCTCAAACTGCTGTTATCACAATGCTTTGATTTGAACTGCGGAACGACACAAACTCGAGTCGAACAAACACAGATTGAACACTTACTGTATTCGCATTGTATTGTGCTGATGAATGTCATTGATGTGAGCCACATATTTGTCTTAATGTCGGCAGCGGCTCCAAGCTTAATGTCTTAACTCAGACTATTAGGTTCATGTTGGCAAATATTGACAGGAACCATTTGAATACTTAATTTAGCTGACAGGCAAATCTTTTTCTTTAGGAATTGTCATTGTAGCAAAGATCTGTTCTCAATTAGCACAGCCACCCTTTTGTATGTCTGGCGTGTCTATCTAGGCCAGCAGCATTGTGGGGTAAGTCTTTTGTGTGAGCCAGTTCCCAGAGCTGTGGCTAAGCTGCGAGTCTCAGGCTGAAACAGGGAGCTGGAGCTATTTAAGCTTGACCTTCATCAGTGTCTTGAAGAACAAAATAGAACAGTGAGACACTGCTGCTAATGGCATTATTATTTCACCCTTAAAATAAATTGCTAAAAGAAATTCCCTTTAACATCTATAGATAACTTTCCTGGCAGTCAGTGCCACATTTCCAGGGTCATAGTCCTGTTTGCATCAGAATGCAGATATCGTGAGTGGAGCATTTTAAGTAGGATTTATTTAAGCATCTGCTTTTAAACATGCCACTGTGCTCATCCGGTGTCAGCTTTAGTCTACTGCAGTAAGTAAGGGCTTCTTTTCCAAGTTTTCAGTTGTCATCACTGAGATTAACGTAACTGTTCCAAAGAGGGTCTAAGGTGTTGGGATTTAGCTCTCAAAATGTATTTGTCTTTTTTTTTATAGTAAAGAAACAAGAAAACTGTCTTCCTGGGTACGTGTTAGCGTTCATCCCAAATGATTTCTATTATACATCAAAGCTTGTTTATTTTCTTTCTAAAAAACAAAAATAAAACGACACCCTCATTTAAGTTTTCATTTTCCTTCTTTGACTTGAGGACCAAGCTAGTTCAGGAAATTGATATGTCTTTAAATCCCAGAAGAAGAAGACAACATTGGTATTCTGGGGCGATTGTGGCTCAAGAGTTGGGAGTTCGCCTTGTAATTGGAAGGTTGCCGGTTTGAGCCCCGGCTTGGACAGTCTCGGTCGTTGTGTCATTGGGCGACACACTTCACCCGTTGCCTACTGGTGGTGGTCAGAGGGTCCGGTGGCGCCAGTGTCCGGCAGCCTCGCCTCTGTCAGTGCGCCCCAGGGTGGCTGTGGCTACAATGTAGCTTGCCATCACCAGTGTGTGAATGTGTGTGTGAATGGGTGGATGACTGGTTGTGTAAAGCGCTTTGGGGTCCTTAGGGACTAGAAAAGCGCTATACAAATACAGACCATTTACCATTCTGATGTATTTTAACAGTACACTGGAGACTGCATTTTCTATTTTTTAACTAATATTATTTCCCTATTTACACCTCTTAGTTCTTCCTCCTTTTTTTATTACACAAAATATTATTTTATTATATTGTTGGCTGGAGTCTGCTGAAAAACTCCAGGATGTAATCTACTCTTCATCTAAATTATGTGGGAACCTTCAGCAGGAAGATTCAGCTGAAGGGCAATGATTTTCAAAAGATTGAGAAATCAATAAAGGTTTTCCTTAATGAGAGATATCTCAGCCGCTCCTGGATTATTTAAAGGACTTACGGGGCTGAAGCCCCAGGATCCAGTCTGTAAATCATCTTAAATTGGTTCAGCTTAAAAGCGTAAGAGTCCCTGCTGCTTTAAAAATGTGACTTAATTGAACTTGGGTAGAATAATTTTTTAAAAAACAATGTGAGCTAACGGAACTTGGAGAATCACGTTAAAGAAACCTAAGAGATTCAGTTGGCATTGTTTTCAAATGTCTGTTTTCTTCAAGCTCCCAAAAAACAAAGGATGATGGGGAGACTTTCAGGTGCACATTGTTTTAAAGTCAAAAGACTTTAAAAGAAGAAAAGTTCTAAAGTTGTGTAAGAATAACAAATCCAAACTCCTCCAAAAACAGCACAGATGCATTTAAAATTCAACTTGAAATCAACAGTACATAATCACCTTAGTTGATCCCACTTAATTCCCGTATAAATATAGGGACCCAATGGATTTGCTGACGAGCTATGGTTAAAACAATCATTACAGTGCTGCATATGTGAGATGTTTGACTGTAAGAAAAAATAAACTCATATGTGCTTTGATACAGTCAGGCAACATTTACATTTCATTTCAGGGTCTGAGTGTATTTATTTGCAATTTCACCACACTGTTGCACCATCAAAGCTGAAATCAAACATCACTGCTGCACAGAGCTTCTGTTGTTTCTCAAAAATAAGCTCAAAGGAGGCAGTGTGCAAGGATCAAATCTTTGGGGATTCACTTTTAACCAAATGGCACTGAATAATTTACAGAGGTCTTTTTTTGATTTACCGTGGCAAAGAAAAAAACACACACACACATTAGGCAAATGTATTTTGAAGCAGTTAACATCAGTTGATAAGATGTTGCAGTTCAACAGTATCAGGTTACACTCAGTTGCAGTAGTTTTCTTTTGCAGACACAAACAAATCAACCTGTTAGTTATTACTTCTATAGTCAGTCCTATGGCGTGTAGGTAGTTAAATTGTTTTCCTTTTTTTTACTGGGCATCAAAAGTTGGCCTGATAAGGGGGACATTCAAGAGTGCATCATAAATATGCACAGTAATTATTATGCGCAGTACTAGCTAGAGATGTGCTCATTTGAAGTTTTGTAAGTAGCAACAGGGAATAACACAAACAGTAGATACTCTGGTGTGACCAGTAGCACTGATTCAAAAGGACCTTGACAAAGAAGATAAGTTGAAAATGACAAATTACGTGCTCAAAAGGAAAAAAGAAAAGCTTTTTGGAAATCAGAGAATCTATTCACAAGCACCCACTGTAACCTGATTACTCACAGAAGATGAATCCAAATAGTCCACAACCCATTTGGAGTGCATGATTTCAGCCATTCCACCTTGAACATACAGTTATTTATACTTCAAAATATCTAGATACATCTATGAAAGCCGTTATTGTATTTCATCTAGGTATGCTGCTAGGCTCCAGTATTCTGTGACGGTTTTGGGGTTGTAGCCTCGCTAAGTAGCTCAAAAAAGATGTTTTTCAAAAATGGGATCAAAACTGGAAATGTCACTCTCACATTAAACATTAATAAACACACAATAGCACAGACTAACCATCCTAAGAAAAGGCAGGATGCTGCTTTTAGCATAAGGCAATTTAACCCCCTTCAAATGAATATTAGAGAGACTGATAACAACATGAAAAAAACCTCACTTCTAAGCAATATTGATCTTTTTCTACCACACTAATTTGTTTTAGGGTGGAAAAAGCATTATAGGATGCTGCTGAACTGAAAGCTCCAACAGGAGGTCGAGTGTAGTAGCCAACACCAGGCAATCTTATATGTTTGCAAACAACAAAGCAAAACCACTCACCCATTAGTGCATTATCCATGCTACATAAATATCATGTTGCGCTTATTACTCACAAATGATCAGCTTCACTACCAAAGCTGACAGGGATGTAATTAGATTTTATGTATTTCTAATCAGCATTAGAAATAATAATGGTCATTTGTTCCCTAAAACCTAAAATCGTGGCTCATCTGGAGGAGGTCAAGTCTCTTTTGCAAACACAGCTTCCTAATTCAATAAAACAGATCATTTCCCCGCGAGTCAAGTGATAACATGAGTTAGTAATGCTGTTAAATTACACTTGTTTTTTTCAGCTAAACAATAAGAGTTGAAGGACTGCTCTCAAACAAAATTACATGAAGTTGAAAATATATAATGCATACTTTTACCAACACCATGTTATACAAACTTTT